GAGTCCCACTGCCCACAGCTTATCCATCCGTATGAGGAGTGTAAGGTGCCAGTGATGATCCAGTCCTTATCTTGGGATTGGTGCTTTCCATGATGATCCAGCTGACTTCATGAGATATATATCTTTTCATGCGCTGTAAAACTGTGCATCTGGTGAGTGTGTGATTTTATCATTTGTGTCACACCAGAATAATTTTGCATGATCACCTGGATTATGAGTTTCACGTTTATAAAAGGACGTTTTCACCTATACGCACCTGTGATCACTTTAATATGAGTTTTATGTATATCTGAATGCACATTGTCACTTTGTATTAACACTCTTTAATATATATGCAATTGGCCTATACTTTGATATATGGTGATTTACCTTTATGATTGTCATCTCTTTGTTATATATTGCTATTACTCCATAGCTGCGCCGCCTACTTATGATGTTTATATACCCTTCTATTTGTATATTACAAAGCATTTATATTTACCTTTTTTAGAAACATGCCTATTGTGATATCTTGCTCTAATGATCTCATTTGATTTCCATCCAAGGTAACCAGTCTAATGGCAGCTAGAAAAAAGAGTGACTTCAAAATCGCTTATCTGTGCACAGGCAACACTGAAAAGGCAACTCTTGACCCCTGGCAATTAGCTCTCACAATCACAACTCATTTTGATAAATAGACACAAAGGAAATGGGCCAGGGATGGTGAATCTGCATTCCTGTACAGATGTATGTGCGTGGTTCCACATGCAGTACCAATACTATCAGGTTGCAGGTGAAGAACCATGCAGCAAAGCTGCCACTTCCTTTCATTACCACTCTTATTCCTACGGGCACTGGCACCCATCCTGCCTGCCTAGCTGCTTTTTTTCTGTGCCTTCCTATAGAAATGGATGCAGATGCAGCGGTTGCACAGACACAAGTGCATGTCAAAACTTAGATACGAATTCTCACTGTCTACACCTGCTCCTGTATGCATGTCAAAAATGTGAAATGTAGTTCTGTCTGCAGCTGCTGCATTTGCATCCACTTCTGCAGGCAGATGCTGAAAAAAGTGGCTCAGCAGGTAGGACGGGTGCCAGTGTCCATAGGAATAAGCTCTTATGATGGCCATACATGCTTTGATAAATGATCAATTTTTTGTGATCGATTTCTACTAATATGAATAATCCATCTATAGTCAACAGCCCATTCTACCGATATATCACACATTTGGAAGTGGGTTTTGTCTAATAATTTATGCCTGTAAGTTATCGATCACATCTCTGTTTCCACACTGTATGTATAATAAATATTGATAATTTTTTATAACTGCAATCTGGAATGCTGAGATAAATTGTGACACCTGAAAAGTTCCATACAACATGTACTTGTTTAGGGTTTAAAGTGGTTGTAAAGGCTCAAAGTAAAAAAAACTTCTGTGTGCAGCCCCTTCTCGATCCTGCGATGTGTACAAGAGCACTGGCACCCCCTGATCTCACTGGATGAGATAGCAGTGAGAGCCATTGGCTCCCTCTACTGTCAGTCACATCCAATGAGGAGAGAGTGGGGGATGAAGCCAAGACACGCTCTGTGTGTGAATGGTCGCATGGAGCAGCGGCTTTGAGCAAGTTTGTTCAGATGCCCCCATAGCAAGCTACTTGCTCTGGGGCACTCGGCAGGAGAGAGGGGACAGGAGCACCAGTGAGGGACCTGAGAAGAGGAGGATCGGGGATACTCTGTGCAAATGTTTGACATGTTTGGTTTTTTGTATGTGCCTTTAATATCACTTTAAATACACTTTATCAGTAATACTTACTTGTGCCATTTTACTACTGACTTCATGCTAAATATAAATCTGCTTTGATTATAAACTGTCATGAATGCTTACTGTAAAAGGTTCATTTGTTCACATCAATTTGAAGATACTGAAGCCTGTTAGACCTTGTTAGTTGTCTTCATGTTTTTCATGTCTAGATAAATTACCCAGAGAACTTCCATACATGCCAAAACATGAATGATACACGTGAGGGAAATTAATGACTTGATAAGATGGTCAACCATTAATCCTTATGGCATAGACAGCTGCTGTACAACTTTAAGTGAACCTGTTCCATGTCTGATAGACAAGAGACAACAGGTTCCTTGATAGCAGGTTGTACAAGGAGCCCATACGTACCTTTCCAGAGCATTCCTGCTGCCCAAAAATTTCTGTGTAGAAGTTAACTTTAATGTAGTCTAAAACTGCTCAGGGTAATGCTTCCACCTTGTTTGGCCCTCACATGACGACTCTTAGACTTGATGACTGCTTGCTCAGCACAGAGCACAGTTGGACGCAGGGAGGAACGTCATGGGTTTCCTCATACCCAGAAATACAAGTTTTTTTGCTGAAGTCTGGAAGTGAAGGGGGTGGTTGAGAAACATGGTAACATGGTAACATGTAACTATGAACACCTTTTGATGCCTGCTGTGAATCTACTTTGCTACTTTGTCTAGTCCAGGCAAAGTATAGGATCATATTGTAAGCTCGAAAGAGCAGGGCCCTCAAACCCCTCGTGTATTGTATTGTTACTGTCTTGTCTCATGTTCTGTCCCCCTTGCTACTGTACAGAGCTGAGCATACCCTTTGGCACTATATAAATACTGTATAATAATAATAATATTGAGATTGAGTAAAAATTGATCAATATCTTTGTTTTATTTGGATGAATTAAGTTTTGCTGTGGTTTTTTCTAATTTGAGGAATGTAGTTATAGATATAATGATTGAGTATTGACACTATTTTGTGGATGATAAGTGACATGTAGCATGTAGAATGTTTAATCAGGAGCTGGTGACATTCCAATGTTCTATGACAAGAATAGTTCTATTTCCACTGGAGAAAGAACTGATTAGCAATGGGTCATTGGTAGCCCACTACCATCACTTATATGAAGGATAAATGAACATGTGTAAAGAAAAGCTGGAGTGCTGGGGTCATCAAACTTTTCAGTATGAGGATCACATTATATGATTTACAAAAATTGGCGGGCCAAAAAAATCCCGATAGATTTCCTTTCACACCAGGGTCCCCATCAGTGTGTTTCTCAACAGTAAGAAAACCAAGGTCTGGTAAATTCTTCCAAAACCTTTCATGCCCCAACATGGCCATGATCAACAGGTAGATCATGATCAACCTGCTGATGACCTCCATTCCCATTCTAAACTTTCCCTACTCCATAAAAAACAAGCAAAAAAAGAGGTTTGGGCTATAGGTACACTCTAAATCCATAACTTATCATCAGAAACTATAGTAGAGAAATAAATCAGTACAGAAATTACAGCTGTATTCCACAACAACTGATCAAATTCTTGTTTAATGTTTAATTTGATTGGTTACAACTGCATTTCTCTGTGTATTGTCAATTTTAATTTTTAATGTAAGCAGACATTTTTGCACACGAACTCCTCACATGATTGCAAACACCAATCAGAATGGATAGAAACTTGCAACCAACAATTTCAAACTGGGTATCAATAAAAGATCCCTGGCCACGCGGATCTCCTGCATAGTAGGGGTTGGGGAAAGACCTGGCAACCTACCCTGTAAAATAATTGCTAAGAGAATTCATGGAAAAGTCGCTTACGAGTGACGGTCCATGCAATAGCCAAGGGTTGGATACGACTGAATGGATAGATAGATAGATAGATAGATAGATAGATAGATAGATAGATAGATCAATAAAAGAAGAGCAATCACTGGGGCAGAACTGAGTCTGGCAGACAGCAAAGAAAGGTTTTTAGGATGAGGGGCTATGTGCAACTTTAGCAATAATTGGTTTGGAAAAATAGTTGGTGGACATTTTAAAAGGCACCTCATCCAAAACAATCCTAAGGCAATAAAATCGTTTGGGGCAGACTTTTTTGTGATGCTCAGGGATGTACTATTAATTGTGTATTAAAAAACAATTTATTTAATGGGGTAGTATTAAAAACACTAAACAATAAAAACAATAGTCCGCCTTTTAATACACAATACCTATTGGTATGTAACAATGAAGAATGGGTAGTTTATATACTTGAAATGCATGCTTTTCTTTCTAGCCTTCCTCTCTCCTTGTGCTCCCCCATGCCCTCCTCGGGGTGAGTTGATGATACTGTGTGCTGCTTCTGGTGGCAGCGCTCTGCTTGCGCTGGATATCTATGGTCTGGTCAGTTTACTATCGGTACCCTATTATTATACAGTATAATGAAGATGTGGTATGTTATATTTGTAAAAAGAAACAAAAAAATGTGCTGTCCCTTTAAAAATGTTTACATCACTCAAACTGATATGTGACCCATAGTGTGAACAACTCTCAGCATGCTAAAATTGCTGTTCAACATCTGAAGCAATAATATGCAAAATAAGCAATAATCTCACAATAAAAAAAAACTACCAAATACTGTATATTGTGCAAAAAGCAAATATATGCAAATCGAGCGGTGTTAAAAATAAAGTGCATAAAACCGTTATGCAAACCCACTGAAATTATTGCTGTGCAAAATATGCTATACTGGATAACCCTCAATATACAATGCAGTGTATCATATAAATGTGCAAATTAAGCAGTTGCAAATGATCAAAATTCATGAGTCATTATACAGTTCACTCTAGTTGTATAAAGACCATCCAAGTACTCTTAAAGTGGTAGTAGTTACCTAATATATTTTTACCTACAGGTAAGCTTACAATAAAGCTAGGTAGAATTAATATCTCCTAAACGTTCATCGTCTAGGAGATATTCTACGGAGCAGCAGCCAGTGACAATGCCGGCGCATGCTCTCTGAAGGAATGGCATACATGTGCGGTTCCTTCAGAGAAGTGCGTCTTGGACGAAACTCTCTCGCGTGGGAGTGACGTCATTGGCAACTCAGCCATTCAAGCAGCTGCAGCCTGTGAACCTGGAAGGAAGATCAGGTGAAGATGGAAGCCTTCTGCAGTGGTGACAGAGTTGCTGAATCTGCCCAAAGGAGTCACTGAATGACAGAGAGGTCCCATGGTGTGAGCAGGGGCAGACTGACCATTTGGAAACTCGGGCACTGCCCGAAGGACTGGGGCAGTAGGGGGCCCATGAGATGCCCCTGGTACCTTTTTCATAGGCTTTTTTGAGTTTGGGCATAGACACAGGTTCCCCATGATCCCCTATTGCCCGGAGGCCCCATGAGTTGTCAGTCCGCCCCTGGGTGTGAGCATTGGCTCTTTCATCCTGAGCCATTTTAAATCACCATTGATCTCTGTTTTACCTGAGATCAATTTGGTTTGGTAAAAAGCTTTTCTTTTTGAGGAAACACACACAAGCACTGGAACACGTTTTATGCATAGGAAAACACCTGGCACTTGCTTAAGAGCTCTCGGATGGACTTTATACAACTAGAATGAACTGTATCATGAATCATAAATTTTGACAATTTGCAATTGCTTATTTTGCACATTTTATGATATACTGCACTGTATATTGAGAATCATCCACTATTGCGTATTTTGCACAGCAATATTTTCAGTGGGGTTGCATAAACGTTGTATGCACTTTATTACACAGTTTGCACATATTTGGTTTTAGCACAGTATATTTGGTAGTTTTTTTACTGTGAGATTATTGCTTATTTTGCACATTATTGCTTCAGATGTTGCACAGCAATTTTAGCATGCTGAGAGTTGTTCACACTATGGGTCACATATTAGTTTGGATGCCGTAAACATTTTTAAAGGAACAGTGCACTTTTTTGTTTCTTTTTTATGTTTAGAATCCATTATTTAGGGTTTCCAAAGTGCAGCAGTCTGATAGTCTGACAGCAAGGTTGATTTTATTATAAATATGTCATATTTGTACAATGTCATATACTATCATGCATGTATTTTGATTTTTTTAGATTCACATAGTTGTCGCCTCCTCTGTCCCTGGACACCCCATTTGTGAATTATAATTTGGTTGTGCATTATGTTTTGCTTAACTTTAAATATGGGTCCATGGGAATGTGTGAACCTAATAAAGGAGTTATCCTTGTGTATAAGGATGGACAATAGTTTTTTTTGTTGTAATTAGTGTTTTTATTAGTACCTGAGTAAAGAAATAATATTTTAATAAATATATGATAGTACATCCTTGAGCACCGCAACAAAAGTCTGTTATGCCCCAAATTATTTTATCAGCTTCGTCAATGGACCATAAGAGCCCAGGAGGTTAATGTGCAATTGAGTGCATGCCCCACGTTGGTCACCCCTTCAGAGCTGCACACATACAACATCCCAGTAGTAGATTGCAGGCTTCCTTGCCAATCCATGTGAACTACACTTCAACTAAACCTGGTTGCCACAGGAGGCCTCTCTGTATTTTCAGTGCAGCTCTGTACTGATCAGCAATCTTCTCTCCCCATTCAAGCTCCCGATAGTACTACTGCCTGCAACTAGGGCTTCCTTGTAGTGTCCAATGTTCGGCTTGCACAGACAGGCATCCGCTGCATATATGCTGAGGTACTCCATGACAGTGAGATCTGCGCTGTGGTGTACTCCCATTGACCCCAAGAAGGACAGCAAAGCTGCAAGGTTTCTTGCAGCCAGCTCTAGCTGCTGTTCTGTACTAGCTGGGAAGCTAGAGCCCGTGTGTATCACTTTTCTGGGACTGTCAGGCACCCAGGGCAGCCAGGACCAGGAACGGACTGACCATTTGGAAACTCGGGCAGTTCCGAGGGCCCGGGGTCAGTAGGGGGCCCCATAAGATGCCCCTGGAACCTTTTTCATAGGCTTTTTTTTAGTTTGGGCAAGGACACAGGCCCCATTATGCCCTAATGCCCGGGGGCCCCATGAGTTGTCAGTCCGCCCCTGGCCAGGACATTTCCATCCCAAATCCAAGAGATGCGGGAGTGCAAGGCAACACACTCCTGCTGAACTGCAATCCCCATCTGCTTCAACAGCTAAAGTCTAGCTGTCAGACTAGACAGGAAACCAGGGCCCGGCAGGAGGAAGGCTGCAGTCCAGTACTGGGCCATGGCCTGGTGGTTGAGAACCACCAACCGTCAAAGTCCTCATGCACACTGGACGTTTTTACAGCTGCTTTTTTTTGGGCTATTGACATTTTTCTCTAAAGCCAGTAAACTCCCCAGCATGTTATCCTCCATGCACACAGACGCCAGTGTCCCCAGCATGTTATCCTATGCACACAGACTGTAATCAACATTTTTTGGCAGGGATGTTTTTTGGCTGGAAAAAAAAACCCAGGACTAGTGGGTTTCTAGAGGAGTTTTTTAGCTGTAGAAAATGCTCTAACGCTGAAAAACGTGGCACAACACGGTAAAACACTTCAAACCTGCATTTGTGGACTTTTTTTGAACAAAAAAAAAATTTTTTTTTTGGTAAAACAAAATGCTAAAAAATGCACTGAAAAACTCATGTTTTTAACATGACTTTACACAGCTAACGTTACCAGCGTTATCAAAACGCCCCGTGTGCATGGAGCCTCAGAGATCTCTCTGATTGTATAATATGATTGTAACATGTATTGTGAAAATCATACGGCAGTATTCTGCCTTTCCATCAGATAAGTAGATGCTGAAGTAACCTGTGCTTATCATAAATGGATAAGGTGAATGATGACTTTGAGTTAAAGCCCTGCAATTTTTTTTTTCATTGCTTTGTTCCCCTTAAGGAAATGTTCCCCTTATGACCTGTTTCAATGACAACTCATCCCATCCTGACACACAGCGTGTCTCCAGGGCAGGAAGTATAGGGAAACCTTATAGAGGTCCTAATCTTTCTCTCTCCTATTAAAACAAGGGTTTTAAATGATGGTCTGTGTATACTTTGGAAATAATTCCCCATACTTGCTGTTCCAGAGAGACAGGAAATTACGTAAAGTCTCAACCACAGAGACAGAGATATTAACCCTTCCCCAAACTAAAAAAAATGGTTACAATTTTCCTTTTAAAATGTTTACCCTAGCTAATTAAATGACTAATAAAATGATGGAATATGGGAAGAGTAATAAAGAATAACCAGGGGCTTTTATAGTAATTTTTACTATTAGTTTCTCTTTGCTATATATTTTTTTTACATTTAGGACTACATTTTTTAAACCAAGAGTACAACACTCTTTCAAGTAAATTTAGACTGATGTGTGAATGAATCCATTCACAAGATCACAAACACATGTTTAATTTCCCCCCTAACAATGACAGGCCATTATCAGAGTCCCATATTTAGACAGAGCCAATTCCACTGGTCTATGGGACTGCTGGTACAGGTTGGTACCACATTATTTGACTTTGCTGAAGAATTTACACTGTAAATAATTTAGTCTGGATTTCACAGGGAACCAGCTGTATCTGGAATTCATTTGTGAGAACCCAAATAGACCTCGGAAATTTTAATACAAGGGAAATAGCTGCATAATAAAAATGGTTTGCATGTAAAATAAGGTAATTCAGGTAATTTTTCCCATAAAAAAAACTTTATTTATATATGGGTTAACATGAGCAATTATCAAATAATCAGGAACAATTTCCTTGGAAAATAGAATATACTTTTATACAATAATAATGCTAAACTTAAAAGTAAAAAAAAAAAAGTTTAGAATTACTAAAAATGTAAATGGTAGTGATGACTATGTTGTTAATATTATTGTGATGCTGCTGCTGCTGATGATTATTTTGCTTTAATGAGAATATAAACTAATTAAAAAAATAACTAATTATTGGATAATATTTTTTATGTAAAATTATGTTTTTTGCACTGGTTACAATAAATTCCACTGTACAGTTTCACAAAATTGCTGATGCAGAAAATGCTTCTGAAGGTTCTCATTTATCCATGTCATGGTAATATAACCAACGGTAATTGGTTATATTCAGCTGGACTTGTTCTATAATGTTGAAGCAAATGCTTTAGAAGGTGCATGGATAAGCAGTGTAAAAATTTCAACATTACAGAACAGGTCCAGTTGAATATAACTAAGTACTACTAGCCACCATAAAGAATATCAATGTTCAAAACATAAAATAGGAATTGAATAAAATCTACTAAACCTCAAGGAAGGTAAGTCACATAGGGACTCCTCGGATGTCAAAATACACTGATCAGCACTAAGGTGCTGATCGAATAAACATTTTCCAACATTTCTATTCTAGAGAAGTCAATCATTAGATCAACTTCTGGTGAGCATGGATCGAAGTTGAGAGCATAAACTACTATCAACAGAGCAAATGCTAGTAAGGTAACAACCACCAGTAAAGTTGAGACAAGCAAATGCTTTCTAGAGAGGGTGGGGAACATATCAAATGGCTCTGAATCTTTAAGGGCAGTGTATGCACCCAGCACACTGAATTGACTTACAGGCCCACCATCCCTCACACCACTGTCCCAAACAGACCTTTATTAACTGCAAATACCTTTAATATCCATAAAGCAATAACACCCCTTTAAACTGCATTCACTAGGACTCCAGGGGCACTGTAGTAACCTAGAAAAAAATGCCAGACATGAACAGATGTATTTATAAAATGTGACAGACTATTCTGTGGTTGGCTATGGATTTTAGTTAGCAGACTTTGTTGTTGCATTGTGACACATGCTATCTGCAGTAGCCACAAAGGGAGATGCTGATAATAGAAAACACTAGCAGTCTGTTGACACCATGTTAAAGCCCTACTAAACTTTTGGCTTAAAATAGCTAAAAACATTCAAGGTGCTTCAAAACAAATTTGTGCAATGTCTTCAATGTCTTACAGTTCTTTTTTTCTTTTGGTTTTGTTTTTTAGAAATTAGCCATAGCCTGTGTAGGAAAGCCCACCCCCTGCCAGCATGCTGAAAAGAAGGACCCTTGCCGTCTGTGTAGACACACTGTTCTCTTTGAAGAGACTCCAGAACTACATACTCAAATAGGTGCTTGCTGGAACGTTTAGACATGCACATGTAGTCAGATGAAGGAACACATCAAAAAAGCTCAATAGCCTTGGCAAGGTGTCACCCCCCCTACACACACACACACCCACACACACACACACACACACACACACACACACACACACAGGCTTTCCTCAATGGACACCCAACAGTAGCTCAAACCATAGAAATACAAACATGAGTGCAAGACCAATTAAGGCGAAAGAATCCAAGATAATGTTTATTGTTGTTAAAAAGGAAACTCATTGAGGAGGTCCAAAACACCACTGTTGAATCAAAGTAAAACTCTCCAGGCAGCAGGAGAATGAGCTTTGCTTATTGGAAAGCTATAGGTCTGTCTCTGCTGGGGGGTGTTGGACCTCTACAAAGAGAACATTGCTTCCACACAGAGAGCAAGTGTCCCTCTCTGCAGCGTGCTGTTCGGAGGCTGATCTAAGTGGAAGGTTCAGTTGGATTTTAAAACAAACCTTTTACATCAAAATACTAGAAACCAACAAGTATTCTGCAGAACAAGCATCACCAGGTACGTAGGCTCATACATTGCCGGTGAAAATGCCAAATACATAAAAATCAGACTGTAGGCAAGTTCATACCGGTGGTCCAATCTATCCTCTAGCTATTGAAAGCCACTGCCAAATTGAATGAGATTTGGCTGTTATTCAACTTTGAGAAAGTTTGCAGTTGGATAGGTAGTTGTGGGGCTCCAAAAGTGCGCTCATTGACTTACCTTTGATATGATTAGCTGGCAATATTGGTCTTTAGTCACGTGCTGGTTTCTAGTATTTTCTATTACAGGGGATTCAATTTATTAAGTTTCAATTTCTTACTATATAAGGCTAACACTGGTATAAAAAACTTTGCCCTGTCTTCAAGTGCTGAGAACAGCCAAATGTAATGTTCACAGAGAAGGTTTTCACATCACATTAAGTTTTACAAAAGAATTACTAAACTCAACAGAATGGCAGCTCGAAAAGTTTGGAAAAGCCATTTGATTTACAGTAGCAGGCCTGACAAAAAGCAGTGCCATGGGACGCTCTACGCTGTTTACACTTCTCTGTATATGTATAATGCCATATTTCATGCTGCAAGTATTAAAGCAGTCTTAACACACTGCTAACATGTATGAGCTCTGGCATCCTCTCAAGCAAAGTTAAATTCCTCCTTGATCATACCTATTGTGGAATATAACAGAATATAACTGGATACTAACGTTTATAGGTAAAGTTGATCCAGGGAATATCCGATTGCCTCTCGAGGGATCAGAAAGGAATTTTTTTTCCCTGCAGGAGCAAATTGGATCATGCATTGCTGGGTTTTTTTTTGCCTTCCTCTGGATCAACTGTGGGTATAGGATTAGAACTTTTTTTTTTTTTTTTTTTTTAATGGTTGAACTAGATGGACTTTTGTCTTTTTTCGGCCAGACTAACTATGTAATTTTTTAACTCACCTGGAATATGAAGTTCAGTTTTGGGCACCAATTCACAAAAAGAACATTGGGGAACTGGAGAAAGTACAGAGAAGGGCAACCAAACTGATAAGAGGCATGGAGGAGATCAGCTATGAGGAAAGATTAGAAGAACTGAAATGATTCTCTCTTGAGAAGAGGAGATTAAGAGGGGATATGAGCAACATGTATAAATGCATCAGTGGTTCATATAGTGAACTCGGTGTAGAGCTATTCACCCTGAGGTCATCACAGAGGACAAGGGGGCACTCTTTACATCCGGAGGAAAAGAAATTTAATCTACAAATAGTGAGAGCTGTGAAAATGTGGAATAGACTCCCTCAAGAGTTGGTTCTGGCCAGCTCAGTGGATTGCTTTAAAAAAGGCCTGGATTCTTTCTTAGATACACAGAATATAACTGGATACTAACATTTAGTTGATCCAGGGAATATCTGATTGCCTCT